TGAGATATTTAGCCATCTTAAGTGCAGTTACCATTGGCCTCCATTTCTTAGGTAGACTTCTGATGATCTTCTTTACGTGATCAGCAGTAGAGTATCCTTTGTCAAGAACTTTCAGCCCAGCAACAAGAATCTGGAATCTTGAGAATATTGCTTTTATGGATTCACTGTCTTCCATCTTAAATGCTTCATATTTCTGAATGAGCGCAAGGGCCTTGGTTTGTTTGACTTTTATGTTGCCTTCATGCGTCATTCTCAGAGAGTCAAACATGTTTTTGGTTGTCTCTCTGTTTGAGATCTTCTCATTTTCTGAGTATGAGATGGCACTGAGAAGTATTGTTTTGGCTTTACGATGGTTTCTGAAATCACGTTTTTGCTGGTCAAACATCCATTTTCTATCTATCTTCTGACCTCTTTCATCCACAGGATGTGTGTATCCATCAATTACCATGTCCCATAGATCAGCATTATGAGCCAGAAAGAAGCTCTCAATTTTGTCTTTCCAGTAGTCAAAATTTTCTCCATCAAAGACTGGAGGTTTGCCGCTGATTTTGTCCTTGTCCTCATGATAGTCATTACTGATGTTTTGGCTAGGTCCCACCATAGTATTTTTCTCAAGCTTGGATCTTGTACTGACACGGTTAAGTGTATGAACTCAGAACCAGGCGCTCTGATACCAATTGAAGAAGTGAAAAACACAAGGGGGGGGGGGGGGGGGGGTTGAATTGAAACTTAAAAACAAAAGCAGTAGACACGATATTTTTATCCTGGTTCGTTTGATCTCAAACTACTCCAGTCCACCCGCCAAGGTGATTTCGCCTCTCTCCAACGAGGACTTAATTCACTAATAAAATCTGATTACAGTATTACTTTGACTACTTTGACAACCGCCAAAGTCTTCTTGAGTATAACCATAACCCGGTTTATCTCAAGGAAAACTAGCTTAATCAAAAGAAAATGATATATTGTGTACTGTTGTTTTTCGTTACAAAAAATGTATCACTACTGTGATATATTACACAATTTGAGCGTATAAGTGAATATGAAAGATTGCAACATTTAAGATGTATGAACAATAGTAGTCAAAATCGTAAACGAGTTGTCCTTTAAGCTTGTTTATATAGGCATGGAAATCTTGTCCAACATAAAGCATGATGATGGACACTCAATGCTATTTCCATATTGAGAAGATTCTTGTCTGACTGAAGTCGTTGCATATGATACTGTCTTAATTGAAAAGTAACGCTTCAGAGCTAGAATCTTGCATGCTGCTTTTACTTCAGAATATTGATGACTCGGTGATGTGAGGATCTGATGGTATATTAGATTTCTGTTCAGAATCAGAGTATCATTTACTTTAGCGCAGATTCTGATCATCATTCTTCAGAACATTCTGATTGCCTCGGCTTGAAAGCTTCTGTAGCTTAACTTCTGATGTTGTTTTGGTCAGAACTCCTGCATACAAAATAACACAAATTTAGAGTGCATATTTGTTCTTTGTATTTGTTATCATCAAAACTCTAATTAAGGGTTGTAGAATCAAACTATGTTCTAACATATGCATCTACCGTTTATCATAACATAAGCAGGTTTCTTGCAACAAGTCTCCTCATCTTTCTATTGTTTATTAGAGTAAGATGGATCTCGAGCAAACGGTGAAGGACCTCCAAGCTCAAAATACTCAGTTTCAACAGATGTTCTTAATTCTAGCCAAAGGACAAGAAGAGTTGAAGACCTTGCTGGTTGAAGAGAAAAAGAAGAAAGCAAAGAAAATAACTGGAGTTCTAAATATGGGAAGAAGATTCCAAGGTCAAGCAAGAAGGACCCTAGACTTTGCAATGTCATCCGGTGAGAAAGACAATCAAGATGGGAAAGGCAAGGAAGCAGTTGTCTAGCCAGATTCAGAAGAGGAAGAGGAAGATGAAGACTATTCTGAAGAACAATATCCTCCAGCCGACGATAAGTATAAGCATCTGAAAGAACGGTTAAGTGCAATGGAAATTCAAAAAGTGCTTGGATTGGACTTTGAGGAGTTGGGTCTAGTATCTGGGATTGTCATTCCCCCAAAATTGAAGGCACCGGTGCTCACCAAATATGATGGAGTTTCATGTCCCAAAGTGCATCTCCGGTCCTATGTGAGGAAAATCCAGCCTCATACCGCTGACAAGGATTTATGGGTACACTTCTTTCAAGACAGTCTGTCTAGAACTCAACTTGATTGGTTTTATCAGTTAGAAAGAGCCAATGTTCAGAACTGGGAAGATCTGGCCGCTGCCTTTTACAAACAATATCAATACAACGCTGATCTTGCTCCCACCTGTACTCAACTTCAGAGTATGGCCATGGTTTCAAGTGAAGGCTTTAAAGACTATGCGCAAAAATGGAGGGACTTAGCAGGAAGAGTCCAGCCTCCCCTATCTGAAAGAGAGTTGGTAGACATGTTTTTGGGCACCTTGTCTGGTCCTTTCTTTAATCACTTAATTGGGAGTTCATCGGCAGGCTTTACTGAGTTAATACTGACCGGAGAAAGAGTAGGGGCCGGGATAAAGAATGGGAAGATTCAAAAAGATGCATCATATGCTGTTGTAAGGAAACCATTCATTGGAAAGAAAGAAGTTGTTGCTGTATATCCTCAGAGAAATCAAGATAGGGCTGAACACCGTCCAATGGTGGGGGCTGTCATGATTCATAAACATGCGCCTGCTCAACAAAGAAGCAACCAGCCAAGAATGGAAAGACCAGTCAGACAGTTCACCCGAATTAATATGACACTATCTCAAGTATTATCACATTTGTTAAAATCCAATCTAGTGACTTTGAAAGAAGCTCCAAAGAATCCTAACACAACCTCTCCTCATTATCATCCTAATGTCCGTTGTGCATACCATTCTGAGAGTCCCGGCCATGACACTAACAACTGTTGGGCTCTGAAAAACAAAGTACAAGACCTTCTTTAAGCCAAAGAGATTGAATTCGACGCGCCAGAAATGCCCAATGTAATCACTGCCCCTATGCCCAAGCACGGTCGTGATGTCAATGTCGTTGAAGAAGATATGTTTGTTACTTCAGTTAATGAACTTGTGACCCCACTCCTGACTATCAAAAAGAACTTGTTGAATGTCGGTGTATTCCCAGGCTGTGATGAAAGTTGTCATTTATGTTTCCTCACCAACCAGTTGTCCTTTGTTAAAAGCAGGCATTCAATGCCTAATAGATAACAAGGAGATTTTGTTCGAGAAGACTTCAATTCCAACTGTTTCTTATAATGATGTTTCCATCGTGACCATTTCCGACAATTCTTCCAGGGTCTCCACCAAAAGACCTGTTAGAATTGCATCAATTCCTAAAGTGGCGCCATTGATAATTACAATGCCTGGACCAATCCCGTATTCGTCAGACAAAATTGTCCCATGGAATTATGGAGGTGATGTCTACTATCACGGTATCAAGCAAGATTGGCCAGCTGCTGAAGATTCAAGTTCTGAGAAAGTTAATTCTGATATCAGTAATATCGCAGGGACTAGCAAGATAACCCGAAATGGAAGGGTTTTCTCTCTAGAAATTGCTCCTCCAAAAGCTGTTTCTGGACCCGTAATCATTCTTGTTGTTGTTGTTCCTCCAAAAGTTGTTCCCAGTCCTGCATATTTTTAATTTTTTATTTAAAATTATGAATAATTTTTTATAAGAAATATTTTTGAGTTATAACTTTAAAAGTTAAATTTAATTTAGATGACATTTTTAATTTTATTATAAAATTAATAATTAATTATTATATTTAATTAAAAAGTTTATTATATTAAATAAATATTTTTATGTAAATAAATAATATTGTTCGATTTCTAACACATTAAAAAATATATAAAACTTATATAAATAATTGATAAGGTAATACAATTAATATAATTAATACACTTTAATTTTAATTGTTGAAATATTTTGAATATATATTAGAAAATTAATATTAAATTATTTTAAATATCTACATTCGTAAAACCTTTAAAAAACTAAAATTGCGTTATTATATCTGAAAACTCCTGAAAATAGAATTATCCTAAAGGTTTTTTGTCAGAGATTTAGAAGAAAAGTACGATGCTTAAAAAAAATTCTCTAAATCCTTTACTTATCTTAACCCGTGTCGCGTACAAACCGCATGCGTGTATCGTTTCTTGGCTTCAACCTAGCTTTAGCTTAATGGATCTTAACGTTGATGGAATGGAAATGCGTTCCTATAATACAAATTTGGGGGGTTTTGGACTTCTTTTCTGTGATCATACATGGTGTTTTCTACATGGGTTAGATGGTCTTCTCTACATAGATTTCTTTAGAGATGTTCATGATATAGTAAAAATCATCTGAACTAGAACATTTAAATTTATCTAGCATCGAATTGAAACAAATCAAATATGTTAGTTTTTCTTAAATCAAACTATTTATTAAAGAATTGAACTGATATACTTGATTTTAAATTTAAATATAATTTCTTAAATTAAATTTTGAACAGATTAAATGATATTTTCCTTTATATGATATCTTCCCCTCTTGATCCATGGCTTACTGAAAGTTCATCAGCTAAGGGAAATGATTGAGCAATTGCTACTGTTACATTGTGATCTCTTGATGCTTATTGTGACGAAATCGCGTCAATAACGCCGATGATATCAAATATATATACAGGTTTTTCGACTACAATAAATAAAATACAATATTTTTCAAGAATTATCTCTTACTTTTTCTCATCTCGTATTAATCCGGTCGGTCGACAATAATCTGAAAGGAAAAACCAAACATCAGCAGAAAACAATGATAGAACATCATCGTGTGACATATGATCCAGTCAATGAATAAGAACGAATGAATGTTAGGAACAAGATTGATATCATATTCATAGAGACGACAAACTTGATTAACATTTTACAATTTCAATGATCATTTTGAGTATCATAAAAGTAATTCAAATTTGATGGAAAATCGAATACCTTTTATAGCCGTTGATGTGACACAATCTATGTAGAAGTTGAACTTGGTGCTCCGAGTACTTGCAGAAGAAACCGCGCTGCGAGCCGTTGAGTGATTCCACCTACAACATGACCTCCGAGTTTACGAGCCTCCGGTTGCTGAACAACCTGTTCAAATTTCAATAACATTTTTTTAAGCATTTTAAGTATAAACATATTTCAATAAATTCAGTTTTCTCAAACTATTACCAATGTCGGCGTATCAAGATAAATGTTGTGCCTGGTGTCTGTGTCAGTGTTTATGCAAATGCTGTTTCTTACCTGTAGTATCGGTAGCAAAAGCGACGGATCAAAATCATTAGAGGATTGCAAAAGTTTCCATATCCTAATCACTTGATCTCTAAGCTCAATCATGTTTTGTCTTTCGGTTTCTGACGTCAAAAGTGGTTCCTTTGCAATACCGTTTAAGACGAGGGTCCTCAAAAAGGCGGGAACATACTGGTATGTGTCGGAAATTGTGCCGAGAGTGAAAGCTTCGGATACCCGAACAGCTTCTTTGATAACTAGATTCCTTAGAACTTCACCGTCGGGACTCAACAATACCTTCAGGGCAGGTTGTAAAGCTTCTTTAGCGGAGAAATCTCGATCTTTTCTTCCCTGAACTAGAAGGTTTTCAAGCCTATTCCACCTGAACTTGCCATCCTTGAAAAGCAACTCAATAAGTGCATCCCTTAGATATGGATTTGGATCTGTTAGGAGCCTTTTAGCAAAGTATGGATACGATGCGGCAAGCACCTTAAAATTCGGATCAGCGTATAGTGCTAAACCTTCTAAAACAGTCAGAGACCTTAATATCAATGCATAGTATGCCGGAACTGTCAACAGAAGAAGGAAATAACAAAAAAATGAATCAGATTCTGCAAGAAATATATCGACACAACTACATTGTATGTTGCATTGACACTTCCGATTGAATGCGTGTCTGATACCAACCCTGACACTTCAGATTGAAGGTGCGTCTGACACCAACACTGACATTTGTGATTACATACAATCATTTTTATTTTTCTCAAATTATTATTGGTGTCTATGTGTCAGTGTAGACACCGTGTCTAATGTTTGTGTCAGTACTTCATAGACTACATCGCTCCTCTAATATAGTAAATGAAAAATCGGTAAATGATTAGTCATCGAAAAGCATAACATTATCTTACCATTGAATGGATATTGGTACAAAACATTTCCGAGACCATCCACAATTGTCTTGAAGTTAAGCTCACTAACAGTATAATCAAGTGCATTGTCGAAAAAGTTTCGAAGTGCGGGAACAATTGGAGACACGTCAACATCCCTAGATAAGAAATCAAGAGCATAGTAGTCTTGAGCCATAGCTTCATAATCTCGGTTAACCAAGTGAACAACGTGACCGACTATCGCATATCTCGCTTCTTCAGGAGTCTCACTCATCATCCCGAAATCAAGAAAAGCGAGTTTTCCCTCCGGTGTAGCCAAAAGATTACCGGGATGAGGATCCGCATGGAAATACCCATACTCGAGAAGTTGTCTGAGACTGCACTGTATGCCAGTGTTAACCAGATCCAAGACATTTAGTCCCTGCCTCTCAATTGCTTCTTGCTCGTTAAGTTTTACACCGTCAACCCAATCGATCGTTAGCACCTTTGCACTTGTATAGTCCCAAAAAACATCGGGAACTAAAATATCTTCCTTGTCAGCATACAATTTTTTGAATCTCCTCGCATTTTTTCCCTCCTGCAGGAACCTGTCAAAATTAACATTCAATCCCCAAAAGAATAATCTTATATAATTTAAAAATATATAGCTTTATTCATCAACGTTTGAGACACCTCCGTAGCACCGACACCTCTGAAAAAATGTGTGTTTGTGTCTAAAACCGATACCGGCACTTGTGATTACGTTTAAATTATTCATTTTTTCAAATTATTACCGGTGTCATTATATCAGTGTCGGTGTCGTGTTTCTGGTGTCTGTATCAATCAGGGAAGATTTGAATTGCACATGAAAAAAATTACAGATTTCGGCATTTGATAAAAGAACTAACCTGCACATAGTTGAGCTCTTGAAAGACTCTACAAGCAAACTCGTCGATAAGTGCAACAACATCGGTTGTGATTCGATCCACGTATTTATTTATTAGAAACCCTAAACCTCTTATAAGGTAGAAGTCCAATCCAATAGCTTCTTCAATCCCGGGGCGTTGCACCTTGACCGCAACAACTTTGCCAGAGTACTTTAACTGAGCTTTATAAACCTGACCTAAACTAGCAGCGGCTATAGGCGAAGGAGATATCGTAGAAAAAATAGAGTCAAGAGATAATCCTAATTCCCTCTCAATGCATTCAAAGGCGACGTCGTCGGGAAATGTCGGCAAACCATCCTGGTAAAGATAAAGCAGATAAATGAAAAAGTCAAGGGCCTCGCTAATCTTGTACAGCATATCAAAACCAAAACCAGTTACTGAACCAATAAAGTTTCTACTCAAAGCATTAGTATGTGTTTAGTTCTGCGTTAACAAAAATTGATTTTCAATGAATTCATTCTATAAAAATTGATTGTAATTGAAAGTGACTTGAATGTAAAGTTATTTATATTTGATACTTTCATGTAAAAAATGGTTGAACAATAAGTTTGAGGCCAAAAATCAATTGCAAAGGCAAAAGCTTCAAATTTTAGCTTCACATCAGAATCAATTATCCTCGCAAACAATTGAACATATCAAAAGCAACACTACACATCTAGAATCAGTTTTCCCTTCTCCAAAAGTGAAAGATGAGGGTCCCCAGATGGCAAAAAGTCCTTCACACTACAGCAGAATCTAAAAGCACCACTCTGTGTGTGTTTGGTTCTGCGCTGAAGACAACTGATTTTAGTTAAGAGTGAGTCGAAGATAATGTGATTTATGTTTAGATAAATTCTTGCAAAACTGAGTTGAAGAGTAAATTTCAGTGTAAATATCACATTTAAACTCAAAAGTCTAAAATTCTATCTTCAAGTTGAATCAATTCTGGAAGACATAATCAATGATTCTACTCAAGAGAAACCAAACATGTCAAAATCAAATATATACATCTAGAATCAATTATGCGTGCTCCAAATGTGAAACCAAACATTCACAATCAAATCAAAACAAACCAAAAGGGAAAGAATTCAATACTTGAAGTTCCGAAAGCTCCTCGAGATACTCAATTGGACAAATATCAGGTCTAGTAGACAACCCTTGACCTAATTTGACAAAAGTTGGTCCAAGCTTAGTGAATATACTCCTAAGCTCAATAGCACGAACCCTCTTATTCTTATCAGCAACTCCATTCCTTTGCTCCCACAGTAGCTTCAACCCAAAAGACCCTAAGCTAAACACAATCTCAAATGCCCTTCCAACAACCTACACAACAAAACCAACAAAAACCAAAAGAGGGTCTTTTCAATTCACAAAAACAAAGCAAACCCACAAAAGATAATCACAAAAAGATTCAAACTTTGGAAGAACCAGAAGAAAACCTTGAAGGGTTTTGAACCATATCTTGAGGCAACAAGTTCAGGACTATAAACAGAAGCATTAACAGCACGAGCCATAGCTTTTGTTTCAGCTTGAATGTCATCAGCACGATCAATTGGGAGAGAAAGAACCTCGAGGGAATTTGGTGATGGCTTTGCTTCAACCAAAGCAGCACGAAACTGTGGATTCAATGAGGTTAATCTTGATTTGAAAGACAGTGAAATTGGAACTGAGCTACGAGGCCATGAAGAAAAGGGTTGTTGAGTTATGGTGGAAGAAGAAGGTAACATAGCTACAATCATTGTAGCTATGGTTGGTTGGTTGGTTAGTTGAATGAAGAAAAAATGATGAAATTGTGATGAGAGATAATTGGGAAATTGTTAATAGAAAAGAACGATAAAATTTTTTTTAATGAAAATTGGAGTTTTCGACAACCTTGTTTATTCCGAAAATTGTCTCAAACTTAAGAATTGTCTCAAATTTAAATGGAAATCTTGTTTTAAGGAGATGTTTAGGTTGTTGTTTTTTTAAGAATTGTGGATTTTTTTATTAAACCCTAAACTTCATTTTAGAAGTTTCCCATCCAACTTTATTTTAAAAAGAAATCAAAGCACGAGAATATTTCAATTTTACTTATAACTTAAAATTCTATACGTGTCAAAAATTTGAGTGTTTCAACTCTTCAAAGACAATTTATTTGGATCTAATAATCATTGACACTATTTGATACCCGTGTTCGTACGGGTACAGAATAATATGCCCATTTATTTTTAAAATATAATAAAATTAAGATTAAAAAAAAATTAGTAGATATAATTCTTTTAATATAAAAAATATTTGATTAATAATATATATTTTTTATATAAATATTATTTTTGTTTTAGAATTGTTGTAAATAAATATTTAAATCAATAGTAAAATTGTTCTATCAATATTTAATATTATGATCAGTAATTTTATGTTACTGTTAATATTTAATAATTTAATAAATAATTTCGTGTTCCCGTTAATGTTTAATATTTTTGATCACTAACTTAATATTTTCGTTAATATTCAATATTTAGATCAGTAATTTCATGTTTTCGTTAATATTGAATATTTTGATCAGTAAATTTATGTTCTCGTTAATATTTAATATTTTGATTAGTAATTTCATGTTCTCGTTAATATTCAATGTTTTGATCATTAACTTCATATTCCCGTTAATATTCAATATTTTAAGCACTAACTTCATGTTCTCGTTAATATTGAATAGTTTAATCAACAACTTCATGTTTACGTTAATATTCAATATTTTTATCAGTAATTTCATATTCTCATTAATATTTAATATTTTGATCAGTAACTTTATATTCTCGTTAATATTCAATATTTTTATTATTAATATATTAATATATTAATATTTAATATTTAATATTCAATATTCAAAAGAGATAATAAATTAGTTTCTAGAATTTTTTTCGTATATAAAATCATTTGAATCAACGATTTAATTATTCCTATATATAAATATTTTTGTTTTAAAATTATTTCAAAAAATATTTAAATCAATAGTAAACTTATGATCGTTATTGTTCAATATTTAAATCAATAATTTAATATTAATATCTTATAAAGTAAAATAGGACTAAATTTTAAAAAAATTATATATGTTTAGAGTTGAAAAATCACATATTTTAGAGATTTAAAATATATCACATTTTAGAGGTTATATATTAAAAGAAAATTAATTTCATAAAGTATTTATAGAATTCATGCAATTGATTTTTAATGGGTGGGTTGTTAACGTGCTTTTCTAATATTTTACTAAGTAAAAAAATAAGTTCTTTTAACATAATTGTTTTTCAATAAGTACTTCTTTTCCTAATAATTATTTATAATATTTTATTAACTAAAATTAACATATAGTAGTACTAATTAAAAAATGTTACTAACTAAATAAAAAATAATATTATAACAATAAATAACACTACGAAAATAACTACATAATATATAAGATATAATAAGCCTATTAAAAAAACATTTTCACAATTAGTGTCACATTAAAAGAACATTTTCACAATTAGTTGGTTAATTTTCTGTTATATTGTGAATCGCTAAGCCTTGTTATAAATGCATGCATCAAATGCTATTACAAAAATGAAAACAAAAGTGATCCTCGACTTCAAAGAAAATCAATCAAACATGCTAATTCTTCTACATATTAGATACTTGATATAATATTCCTACAAAGTAAAGAGTTTCAAACACCATCAAAATAGAGACCAAGCAACAAAAGGAACCTACATGTTTATTTTTATATAGAAAAAGTGATAATGCTATATATCTGATATGTCTGTGGCCCCTCGGCATCAATATTAGCATGAAACACCACATACTGCATATCTATGAAAATTCTAAAACGTGTCAAACAAAAGCTTCGGGCTGATCCTTACAATCAATAGTAAGAACAGAATAATCCTTATTAGACCAATTAATATCAACATTTGGTCTCTGTTTCTCGTCAAAGTCATCATCGTCAACACGTTCATAATACGTTCATAATCCTATCATCAAACTGTAGAGTTATGTTTTAGCAAATTTATGTTTTGATGATTACAAACATCATGATTAAGGCAAAAGGCATTATCAAAAAGAAGAAGATAAAGTATCTACTCAAAATAGACGTTTGGTTTGTATGTTAAGTTACTCCTAAAAAAGACTTTGGTATTTGATCTTCATTATGATACAAGACTACAGTTCAATATAATATGTTACTATAATATTCAAAATATGTTTAATATTATACACATGTTTCATGACTTTTAATATAAATAGCATTATATTTCCAAGTCATTAAAAAGGTTATTTCACTTTTTCATACTGTGGTAACCGGTTACAAGTTTCTGGTAACCGGTTACAGGCTTCAGCATTTCAAATTTTTAACGTTACCTGCACTGGATAACCGGTTACTGCATTCTGGTAACCGGTTACCGCTGAAACGAATTTGAAAAACAAGATTGTTTTTAATGTTATTTGTTTGTTGCATTTGTCCATGAACCATTGCACTTCTACATTCATTTAGAACCTTTTGAAAGGGTGCAATACATGTATATAATTCAAATATTTTTGAAGTAGAAACACACAAAAAATAACAACAATCACAACATACAATTCAACATTTTGTTTCTCATTTTTAAACAAGTTGATAGGGTATTAACCTATCGACTCTATTCGAGCTAGAGCAACTCCAGAAAAGAAGAAAGAGGTTAGAATCCAATGTAAAATTGGGAGAAATTTTTGGCTACCTTTCATTCATTTAAAAGATGGTTATAAGGAAATGGAAATCATTCTAACAAATTCTCTAGATTTCCGGATCACATGACAGCTGCTACATGATCAATACAAGTGGAAGCTTCTAGTACATAATTAAAATGAAAAGGTAAAAAGTAAAACAGAAAATGACGGCAGCACTGTAGAAATTTCACTTAGGCAAAGTCTTGCATCCAAATGGGTTGCTTTCTAGCCCTTTGACTCTTTCTCAACACTGGGCCTCCAACCTCATTAGGCCCAATAGCAGAATTTTGGTTTGAAGGGGGCTCTGAACCCGTATCATTACTCTGTTCTTCCACGACAACCTTGTCCTCAAGGTTGAAATTCGGGTAAGTTTCCTTGAGCATATTGATCTCTTCCCAAGTGGCTTCAACGGCAGGTAATCCTACCCAATGAATCAATAACTGTTTGCACATTCCCGTAGGTGTTTGCAGCTTGCGAGCTCCAAGAATCTGAGCAGGTTGGAGGGCAACTCGGGTGCCTATGACGGATGGGTCCAGAGAAGGAGTGACCAAAGGCGGGTTTCCGTAATATTTTTTGAGCTTGGAAACATGAAAAACCGGGTGAATGCGAGTCGTGTCTGGTAATGCTAACTCATATGCAACCGGGCCAAGGCGCTGTAGAATTTGAAATGGTCCAAAATAGCGCTTTGAAAGTTTAGGTGAAACTCTTCCCTGAACTGAGATTTGTCGGTATGGTTGGAGACGAAGCCAAACCCAAGTACCGACTTCAAAAGAACGATCTTGTCGATGAACATTGGCCTGATTACGCATACGCATTTGTGCCAACGTCAAGTTCTCCTTAATGAGCCGCAGCATCTGGTGTCGTCTTGCCAAGGTTTCATCAAGAGATGCAACCACCATGGACCCTGTGATGTAGGAACAGATGGAGGGGGGAGAGCGGCCATAGACGGCTTCAAACGGGGTCATTTTAATGGCAGAGTGGCGAGTGGTGTTGTACCAATACTCTGCCAACGGAAGGTAAAATAGCCACTGTTTTGGTGTATCCCCAGTCAAGCAACGCAAATAAGTCTCCAAAGTGCGGTTGGTTACTTCCGTTTGGCCATCTGTTTGGGGGTGATAGGAACTGCTAAAAGCTAAGGTGGTACCCTGTAAACGAAATAGTTCACGCCAAAATTTTCTCACAAAAACCTTGTCTCGGTCACTCACAATAGTCTTTGGCATACCATGAAGCTTGTAAACTTCCTCTAAAAATACAGCAGCAAGCATAGATGCGGAGAACGCAACAGGTAGTGCTATGAAGTGCGCGTACTTGGATAATCGATCTACCACAACCCAAACAGTCGTTTTTCCTTGCACCAGAGGTAAATGAGTTATGAAATCCATGCTAATGTCTTCCCAAATCTGACCCGGAATGGGTAATGGGTTCAGCAGTCCACCTGGTTTCTGCGTCGATGTCTTGTACTGTTGACAGGTTGCACAGTTCTGCACGTAACACTTGACATCCTTAATCATTTGGGGCGAATAATAAGTGGCTGCCAAACGTGCCATTGTCACTTTGACCCCGGAATGACCTCCTACAGCAGAAGCATGTGCCTCATGTAGCAAATGAGAGCGCAAATTGGCTTTGAAAGGAATGAATAAACGGCCCTTGAAATAGAGAAGACCATGTTGCATTGTAAAGTGAATGGGTGTGCTACTGGAGCTGCTCAATTTAGACAATAATTCCAGCCCAATCTGGGTATTTGCATAAAAGTCAACCAATTGTGTCAACAATAGTGGCTGACTTGCTGATAGACTAGTGTATATTGACACTGTAGGTTCTGGAATTCGGGACAGTGCATCTGCTACTACATTATTGCGCCCTGGAGTATAAAGTATTTCATAATCAAAACCCAATAATTTGGTGAGCCATTTCTGTTGTGTCGGCGTTTGGATTGTTTGTAAGAACATGACCCGTAAACTCTTTTGATCCGTATAGATGCAGAAATGACGACCAAGTAAGTAATGGCGCCATTTCTTCACAACCGACGTGATCGCAAACATCTCGCGCTCGTAAGCAGATGCTGATTGCATTCGTGTGCACAACTTCTTACTAAAGAATGCAAGAGGGTAAGTAGCTTGAGACAACACTGCTCCAATGGCGATACCAGAAGCATCTGTGGTGACATCAAACGGAAGTTCGAAACTGGGTAAATCCAAGGTAGGCAACTGGATCATAGCATCCTTAAGTGCTTGGAATGCCTCTACAGCTTGCTCATTCCAAATGAAACCTTTGGACTTCAAAAGGTCTATTAAGGAACTAGTAAGGGCTGCATAACCTCGAACAAAACAGCGGTAATAACCTGTCAATCCAAGAAAACCACAAAGGGCTGTAACTGAAGTAGGCACGGGCCATGCTGCTATAGCCTGTAGTTTCTCTGGGTCAGCTGCCACTCCATCGGCCGAAATAATATGCCCAAGATAACCAATCTAATTAACTCCAAACTCACATTTGGAGAATTTAGAAAACAGTTTGTGTTCGACCAAAGTTTCTAACACCTGTTGGAGATGGTGCAAATGGGACTGCCAAACCTTGCTATAAACCAGTATGTCGTCCAAAAAAACAAGCACACTCTTGCGTAGAAATGGTCGAAACACCTTGTTCATTGTAGCCTGAAAAGTTGAGGGAGCATTGGTGAGTCCAAACGGCATCACTAAGAACTTGAAGTGTCCGTCCACGGTCCGAAAAGCTGTTTTAAAAGTGTCTTCCGGTGCAAGGAGTATTTTGTGATACCCCGAACACAAGTCTAGCTTAGAAAAAACCAAGGAGCCATGGAGTTCATCAAGAAGTTCATCAACCGTGGGAATAGGAAAACGGTCCTTAACCGTAACAGCATTTAATGCACGGTAATTCACACAAAATCGCCACGTGCCATCTTTCTTTTTGACTAATAAAACCGAAGAAGAAAAGGGGCTGGTACTTGGTTTAATGATTCCCTCATGGAGCATGTCATGGATCATATTTGTCATAATTTCTTTTTGGAATTGCGGGTAATGGTACGGTTTTATATTGACAGGGTGAGTGTTTGGGTTTAGGTGTATATGATGGTTTTGGTGTCTATCTGGGGGAAGGCCTTGAGGGGTGTCAAAGATGGTGGCATACTGGTGAAGTAAGTCTTTAAGGGCAGAGTCAATGTTACTGTTGACTAGGTACTCTGGTTTGGTTGCGGTGTTTGAATCAGGTTTATCAAATGAGGTAAGGTGAAGTGAATGGATAGAGTCAATGGCTTGGGTGAACATAAACCTACAAAACTGAGCATAAGATGTCGCAGTAGGGGTCATGGAAGTAGAGCCGATGAGGGTGATCAGTTTGTTGTTATAGGTAAATTGGATGGACGGAATCGAATAGTCAGACAGAAAAGAACCCAAAGTTTGTAACCATTGAACTCCTAAGACAGGGTCTGCTCCATGAATAGGTAATATAAAGAATGAGATATGGAAACCTTATTCAACAATTCTCACCTGCACGTCTTGACAACACCCATTACATTGAATGGAATCTCCATTGCCCACAATCACCGAAAAGGGAGTGTGTGCCACAACTGGAATGCCCAAAAACTCAACAATCCTGGGTTGCATAATGTTGTGAGAGCTTCCTGAATCAATTAGAATTGTAACCCCCCAACTCCTTAATGTTACCATTCACACGCAAAGTTTTTGGAGAGGGTGGACCTAATAGCGCTGCCCGGGAAAGCTGAAAGTGTTCAGCACTCTGATTCAGTTCCTCCACCACCGGTATAGCAACAGGTTCAACCTGCTGATCGAGCAACGCAGAGTCTAACTGCAGCAGAGTTGATGGCTTTGGAGGCGGCTCATCCTCCGCCAAAAGCAGGAGAAATTACTTTTTCTGACAACGGTGACCAGGGATGAACTTGTCATCGCAATTAAAACAAAGCCCTCTGCTACGCCGCTCTTGCATTTCAGTAGGGGATAACCGGCGAATAGGTATAAAAGACGGCAGAGGGTTTCCTGCAGGACCAAGCAACGAGGGAGAGCTGGCACTTCGTGGCGGTCTTGCATAAGAAGGTTTGGAATCTAGAATTTTTGCCTCAACCAACTTCGCCAACCCAATTGCTTGAGTAATGGAGTGAGGTTGCAAAATTGCAAGCTCACGTTGAATGTCGGCACGTAACCTTGAAATGAAACAATTAAGCAAAGATTCGGTTGAAAGACCCAACACCCGATTGGAAATCGTCTCAAATTATAGTTGGTACTCCGTCACGGTGCCGACTTGATGGAGCTTAAACAAAGCTGCTTGATGATTAACATAAGAGGAAGGGCCAAAACGTAACTCTAACGCGCGAGTGAAAACCGACCACGTCGAGAGTTGTTGAGTGGAGTGAAGCCATTTGAACCACCCAAGAGTTGGGCCTTGCATGAAGAACGGAACCAAGGCGAGCCTTTGAGTGTTTGGCTTGTTCGTGAGGTCGAAATACTGTTCTGCTTGAAATATCCACGCAAGAGGGTTGGAACCATCAAACGGAGACAATCGTACCTTGGCCGCTTTGGGAACAGGAGTGGGAGGGACCGAACCACTACCTGAAGGTTTGTGGTTAACGAATTTCTCTCGGAGAGATGCAATTTCGGTTGCCATTACTGTATATTGTCGTTCAAAAGCCAGTTGCATTTCTTTCATCTGAGCTAACACATCTTCTGGTGTTATTTCAGGAGAATCGCCGCGAGGCATGGTGAATGAAAGCACCAAAATGATAGGGTATTAACCTATCGGCTCTATTCGAGCTAGAGCAACTCCAGAAAAGAAGAAGAGGTTAGAATCCAATGTAAAATTGGGAGAAATTTTTGGCTACCTTTCATTCATGTAAAAGATGGTTATAAGGAAATGGAAATCATTCTAACAAATTTCCTAGATTTCCGGATCACATGACAGCTGCTACATGATCAATACAAGTGGAAGCTTCTAGTACATAATTAAAATGAAAAGGTAAAAAGTAAAACAGAAAGTGACGGCAGCACTGTAGAAATTTCACTTAGGCAAAGTCTTGCATCCAAATGGGTTGCTTTCTAGCCCTTTGACTCTTTCTCAACACTGGGCCTCCAACCTCATTAGGCCCAATAGCAGAATTTTGGTTTGAAGGAGGCTCTGAACCCGTATCACAAGTGCATGGATTAATATTTTGCATGAAACTTTTACTCTTACATTTTCAAATACATCATTAGAAAAGTTTCATCATATGCATTGAGCACTTGTGTAATTATTTATTGAATTGTTGTCTTGAAAGAGAAGAGATAAATACTTTGTATTGACATTGATTATCAACTTTCATATTTACTTCAAGAATTTTTTCTAATCATTTTTCCAAAGTGATTGTGGTATAACCTTGCTGTCCAGGACTGTTGGAAGCAACAGAGTACTAAGGGAGGATTGTTCTCTTTCTACTTTCTATTGGTTACATTGTTTTCAGGATTATTGAAAACAACTGTTTACATTGAAGAGGATTGTTCTTCATGTACTTAGTTGGATCTTAAAGGATAGTTAAAGCCTTTGATTTCCCTATAGGTTAAATAGTAAGCATCACATTTGGATGTGGATAGGCTGTACAATAATTCTAGCTATAGTGAAATTTCTTACATGTTGGTAAGGAGACTGAAGTACTCTCGAAGTGTGAGGGGAACCCGTATAAATCTCTGGTGTTCTTTATTTTCTGTATTTACCGCTTTCATATTCATAGACAAACAAGAAAATAAAAACAACATCATATAAAAGAATAAAAATCTGCAATCCACTTTATTCAATCCTATCGTAGACGAACTCAAAAACCAACACAAACATCATCTGATGAAGCCTTCTACCAATATGCGTCAAATCATCCGTGACAACAGTTTTGGCACCTCTTTTCCTATTTCCACCACCAAGCACACTGCATCATCTCATGTGCAAGAATTGATCCGGTAAGAAACCTGCGAAAGAAAAGCAGAACTGCAGTGGCGTTCTACACAAGATTATAGAAGATTATATAAGAAATGGAATAGTATTATAGGTTCCACACACCATTGAAGAGCTAATCAAAACAGTATCATAACACATAGGATTATTAGAAGACGCTGGTAAAATTACTAATGTCGGCATTATTAAGTCTGTGAAACACATTAGGTAATTATATTATGGTTCTCTTACAATCATCTAATAATGTGGTCTCCTTGTAATGCTCTGTAATATATGATTGGTTTATTTTACATTAAATTATGAGTGTTAGAGTGCTAAGTTTAAGATTAAAAAAAATAGTAAAGACTCGCTTGCATTTGTTATACTCATCACTCATATACTTATTAAAAACAACAAAAATTGATTACATTCCATCACTTACATTCTCACTTGATTCTAAACTTCAACGCCACTTTGTATTGGTTTTTTGTGTCATGAGTAAACTGGTGGTAGACTCCGGCCGATAAAACGATAAGATCACCCACCTTGATCCAAATACAAATCCAGCTATCACCTTTATCCCGAATCTCTTCATCCTTATGAATATGCTCAGTGTAGAAGACGAACCTACACATTAAAATCTAAGTCCAGATTGATATCACATATTTTTCAACACCCAATAAAAGAATAAATTGCAAACATTTTTCTTTTTACAAAGTTGCAATATCATTTATTATAGAAAATAAGTTGAAAATAGCATTAATGCATATCATTCATCCACTGCAAACTATTCCTATTTTTACTATCTGTCCTAAAAGAGTTACAGAAAATAAGTTGAAAATGGGATTAATGTATATAGATGTAAATAGATGTAGTATAGAGAAGATTTATAATAGGAAATCTAAAATGAATATTTGGCATCTTTAGTTGAATATAAGCTTTATCAGGAAACATGAAGCATAACATATAATTGTCAGTCACAACATGACTATAGCATATCTTATGCATCAAATTTATCTTTCTATTTTTCACTCTCCTTCAACAGATACATAGATAGATTATCGTAGACACGCAGAGAGGGAAGGACAGAGAGAAACAAAAATGATCTACAAATGCAAGATTATTTCGGTATATAATTCAGTATACACTTTGACCAAACCTAACAGTTCATTAAAAGTGGATAAGTGTTGAACTTTCTTATCTTCTTACAGTACCCAGACATCATTGGCTGCATTACATATAACTGTAAATTGAGCTTCAAGATCCTTGATCACTTCTACCATATTCGCCGGTCTTTGATTTACATAAACAGTAAAACCAGGTGTCTCTTCCTTAGCTTCTTGATTATCAATTGCCATTTCTTGATGGCTAGATTCCATATAACCCGAAGTTTGAGCTTTCGATACTTGAAAACATTCGCCACCATTGACTTGATCAGTTTCAGTTACTATAGCTGATAGCATCAAAAGTGAACATTCAAGGTACTATCAGACATATAACCCTTTATATTTTATGCAGCTAAAAAATCTTACGGAGATGAATTTAGAGGGATCAGAAAACCAAGCCCCAACAAGAGTGGCAACATGGAAGACGACTGAGCAGTCTGGTAAGGCGGAATGAAGTGAGGAAAAGTCAGTGATGTCGCCGTAGACAATTTCGAAAGTAAGAGGAAATGCGGAAATATCGTTGGTGCATCTGACGAGGACCATAACGGAGTAACCTCGTAACTGGTGAATGTAATAATAACAGATAGAGTTGTTCTTAACAGATTAGTTGCACAACTGAGATAAAACCCTAAAATGCCTTCATTTTGAAACACCTTATTAGCATAGTCAATAACCCCGTCATATTTAGATCCATTACTATTTTTCAGATGACCTTGCTCTTGCAGTCGGGTACATATTACCTTGTGCAGATAAGTCATTACAGAGGTAGTTACTTTTGAAATTGATGATGTAATAGCAACATTCTCAGGATTAAGGTTGTCAAAAGTTGTTATCTGAAATGTTTTGAATCTTCATTGGATAAGCACTACATACATTAAAATAGATAACATTGCATACTTATTTCAAGGATCACTGAATATATAAATAAAATAGCAAATTTATTCGTACCTTTTTTGGCAATGTATGACTTTATCTTTTCGTATGTTAGAAATTGAATCACTACATGACTTACGCCAGCTAATGACGGCACAATGCCACTGCATTAAAGGAAATATAAGTGCATCATAATTCACAACTAAATAGTACACAAGAAACAGGCTCAAAAAAAGGTTATTTTCTTATTATTTAACTTGACATCGGGGAGAAGGTCGGGATCAATTAATAACAATGTGTGATTTGATACACAAACGGAAAATAATCTCTAAATTATTTTTTCTTTTTATTGAGATCCCTTGGCATTCATAAAATGTTTTATCAAATCATCAACTTTAAATTAGAGACCTAAAAAACATACTTATACAGTCCTCGTAGACCTTTCTCACGTGTAATCTTCGTCAAAGCAGAAAGAACACTCTCGTAAGGAACAACATTAAGCCACATTCTTTGTGTCTGATGGACTTCAGAGAAAATATGAGTCAATATTTAACATGAGAAATAATGTATCGGTATCAATGAATAAGATATAAATAATTCATATTAAGACGATAATCATCGAAACATAAAGAGGTATAACGAATACAAGTTAAAACAAATACAGAAGCAACTATTCAATTTAACCAATTAGTTTTGATAGAAAGAATGTCATGATAGTTAGGTAATAAACTCTAAATTTCATTTAAATAAATAAGATGAGAGATTCTTACAAATATATGGAAGATTGAGACGCATCAAAAGTGAAAATGACAAGGAAAAGAAACAATAAAAGAGTGTCCATTCTAACTTTTACATATATTTTACTAAGATTATAGACATGAGAAGAATTAACTCACTTGGAGTCTTGTCGTAACAACCCACGATGGATTTGTAGATATTGTTGTTGCAGCCCCAATAGTAGCAGCAACTATAATTTTTTCCATAGTTGAGAGTTCGTTGTAACCCTCTGAAACAGTATAACCAACAAATATCGTCATAAAAAGTAGTAAATCCATCAAATATAAAGTATAAACTTGGGATACGAGGAAACCACAATTGGAAAAAAGATTGAGAAATCTATTATAATGTTTTCAATGACTTAAGAGAATAAATAGTGCATGTAAAAAAGAAATTTTCATGAAGATAATGTTTACCATGTGACCGAAGCAAATGATTAGTGTGGAATAACAATTGTATATAAAAACATTCAACATATATTCACCAAACTGTATTTGAAAACTTTTCCTTCCTTGTCATGTTGTGGATTAACATGATTAAATTCTCAAAGCACATGTTGTCAACTTACCAAAACACCAGTAGCAAGTAGTGTAGATGATTTCACTCCAGCACCGACATTGATTGAATGATTCGAAGTCAATCCCGATCTCGCCGCTGCAATTTGCTAAATTTAATTCAAAACTCTAAAATTCAAAATTCTAATACAAAATAATAGTTATAGAAATTGGAAAGGGAGTAACCAACACGGACATAGATTTCTTCGAGGAAGGTGATGGAGAGAGTCGATATCAGAATACAAATTATCACTAACACCCATTTCAGTTTCAACTTTTACATTATGAATTGCTTCAATTCAGTTTCTAAGTACATTCAACACATTAAATTGAGTAAAAAAAGGAGAGAAAAATAGAAAAAAAATCAGAGCAATACCTCTTCAAACATAGCAGGTTCCATAGAAAGAAAAGAAAGAGAGAAGAAAGAAGAAGAAGAAGAGAGAGAGGAGCCGGAAGAGAGAGGAATAGAAACCGTTCTGCGAAACCGTAAAACCGTCATAGAAAGAAAAGAATGTGAAACCCTTGTAGAATTGAAAAGAATTGGAAAAGAATTGAAGACTATTAATGTTTATGAGATATTTGGAAAATAATAGATATTTGGATTAATAAAGAGGGGTGTTTATAAGAAGCCACTTGTTGTGATTTTGAAATAAAAGAATAAAATTGAATTTTTAAATATATCAGATTTTCTTATATTATAGATTATTATGTTTGTTCTCATTTAAAATTTCATGTATTTATCTTATTGAGATTCATCTTATCTCAAAAGCATAATAATCCATTTTGTACCGCAAGTTAAATCATTGGTCATATCCGATATTAGTGTTACTCCTTGAAGCATGAATGTGATTCATGTTAATCCCAAAATTAACATGTTACCCCCTAGATTTGATTTAGTAATTAGACTTAAACATTTTCTTATACAAGTTAACCTTATCATCATTATGGTTTTCACTAAATCTATAATTTTATTTAGCAAATTGTAATTAAATGAGCTTAAAAGGTTCAACTTAAATATATTCCTGATTTTCTAATAAGGAGTCTCCCTTTAAGAGCACAAAATAAATCTAATAATAGATTCAAATATACATATACCGTTTGAGGTTCTCACCTCAGCATAAATGATAGCGCAGTGTGGAAAATAACCTTTGACGTTATCATAGAGAACTAAAACACGTATAGATAGCAATTCTAAAAACACCAAAATAACATAAGTGGCACCATTTATCCCAAAGTTAGTTATAGTAACAAATACATGTTTATCTGTAAACGGTCTCAATAACTGCTAAAGTGAAAATAGCAACAAACTTGAGTGTATTCACATAGATTATATTCTCACATGAACTTTAGTGTCTACCACAGGATGTAATAAAACTTAATAGTTTTAAGATGACATTTGCAAGAGTTCATTATAAGCAACACTTTCTTGAAATCATATTTTATTTGAAATTCTAGTATTCAGATTTTGGATGTCTTAAGAGATGTCGAGTCACTGATCTTTGAACATAAACGCAAATAATAGGATATAACACAATAAAAATAGTGCAGAAAGTAAACAATACGCAAAATTGTTAATCCAATTCGATGTACAACAACACATATTCTGGAGGTTATCAAGCCAGAAAGGAAAACTAATAAATAGTATCAATTGGAAGCTAATTATATGAGAATTGAGTAGTGATGAGAGTGAGAAAGAATTGTGAGAAAATCGTGCCAAATAAGTGAACCCGAGTGCGTGTGTAAAGTGTGATCCTCACATGGTCAAAACACACTCAAACCTTACGTTTTAGGCACTAAATATTTTCTAGAATCTCATTAAAAGTGATTAGTGAAAGAATCATGTGCAAAGCTTGCTTAATTTGTGAATTAACAAGTTCAAAAATATGATTCTCGAACAAAGATGTCAATCCATGGCGCCAACTTCAACAATACATAGCTCACTACTCAGGGACCTTTATGGTGCAATCTTGGATTCTTTAGAAAGCTGAATGATCAAGATTGACAATGTGTTTTGAAAGTTTCCATTTGGATACTTGGATCAAAAGTTATAGCTCTTCAAAGTTGACGTAAATTTTGCACATTTTACTTAGAAAAATATCATGTTCTTGAGGACCAAAGATGACCTATAATGTCTTGCAAGATTAAATGACCTTCCACTCAAAATTTATTCTTGATCCTTGAAGATAAAATGAAGTAGACTCTTTGAATATGATTATGGAATTGGAATCACTCAAAGATCATAAACAATGAGGGAGTTATGGTTCTTGGAAGATGATGAAAATTTCTTGAGAAATCCACAAATGACCTATAAAGTTTCATTGAATTTCATAACTTTCCACACACTTTCAGATCTTGATCTTTGAATCAAATTTGTTATAGACATCCTCAAGTTTATTGGGGAAAAAGAATGAGCTCAAGGAGATAAAAATTGACCATGTTATGATCCTTTAAAGTCAAATTAAAGAGTTCAATGGCTTTTTCAAAGGACTTGTAATATTCTTCAAACTTAAATTATCTTCCACTCAAAATTGGCCTTTGATTCTTGAAGAGAATTTGTTAAGGATTCTTTAAAGAGAATCATGGCTTTGGAATCACTACAAAATCTCAAACATTGAGAAAGATATGGTCTTGGGAAGTTGACAAACCCTCACTCAAAAATTACAAAAGTGACTTGTGACATTCTTCAACTTTTGATGATTTTCCTCGCACAATTGGATCTTGTCATGTAAAGAGAAGTTATTGGTAAGGATGAGAAGAGTCTATGAAAAAAAGATCCACTTCAAAATATTGAAAATTGAGATAATTATGCCCTTGTGACCGTAGAATCAAGGACTTGCCAAATTAGGTCAAACTACTTAGATTAACTATGAATCTTTTGAACTTTGCTTGCAAATTAGGGCACAATGAAGCTCAAGAGACCTTGAAAAGATGTTTTCTTAAAGCACACTTGACGATGAAGCTCAATAATGAATGAAACTTGTTGAAGAAGGTATGGAACTAAACACATAAATCTATGAAGTTTATTGATGAATTCAACCACCAAATAGCCATAGCCTTAAATTTCAAATAGCCATAACCATAGCCTTAAATTTCAAGTATTTAAAATCCACTAAATAACCAACTGACTAAGGATCATCCTTCTGTGAGCAACCCCTTCATATAATTAGTTTTGATTGATAGAAAATATATATGTGAAATAATCAATGAATGTTACCTACATGTGTGCATTGTAAAAATATAGTATAACATGTTTAAATGAGTTAAGAATGTGTTTTACACATAAAACACTATTATGAGTCGACACAAACAGCTTTGCATCGATGCATACTTAAGCAAAGAATCATAAAAATGATTCTACTTCAGTATGAGTCGACACATCCATGTTATGCGTCGACTCATAACATGTTGATGCCCCTGTAATGCAACCTTTAACCTTCATGCATCGATACATAACTTCATGCATCAACACATAACATGTTGATGCCTCTAGAATGCAACCTTTAACCTTTATGCATCGATACATAACTTCGTGCATCGATATATGATATGTTGATATCCTTGGAAAACAGTTTTGAACTTTTATGCATCGATACATAACATCATGTGTGATCGGTGGATCTGGAACTGACTGTTTAACGCTGGTTTCGCGAAATGTCGCGGAAGCAAGAGTCGTCACCTTCTTTTATTTTCTCCAAATGGAAAGGACAAAAGCACAGAAAAATTCCTTATAGAGATTGCTCTCGGTTCGGGAGGTAGGTTATAGAAAGGGAAGGTGTTAGCACCCTTTCTATCCATGGTTATCCATGGGCTCTTAGATACTTGCTCACTTGTGTTTTCAAAATTGTTTGTTTGCTTTTCAATTGTGGGTTTTAAAAAGTTTCTTTGAAAATTCCAGTTCGACTCTTGTATCGGTCCTCAAGAGTGTTTGAAAAGTTGCTTTCGAAAGCTTTTTGAAAAGGTGTCGGTGTGAAAAGTATTTTTTGAATTTGTTTTGGAATTTAGAGCAAGTATCTAGAGTCGTCTACCTACCCTAAGGAATTCGTATGTATAAATGTCCTTTAAAGTAGTGCCATCCCACCATTGAGAGGTAGGTGGCACCACCATTGGAGGTGTTCGGGTCAATTCGAGGTTCGGGACATGGTGATCACCAGAGCAATGGGAAGACACCTTAGAAGCTACCCTCATGCCAGGTTCCCGGATCATGAGGACTTACTAAGACATCCTCTACTCGACGATCACCTTTCGAGGCAAGGCAACAGTGAGGCGTACCCTAGGGGTGGTGTGTGAATTGTGTGTCATTTTCAGTTATTTTGTCTTGTCATGTCAAAGTGATCTATGCGTTTGTTTTTATTTTAGGCCATTCATTCTTGCATGCATTTTATTAACAGTTAAAAGAGTGCGGAAAAATAAAAGTTCTAAACTATTACAAAGGCGCGGGTCCACATCGCCAAATTTAATCCCGGACCTGATTTGACAGAAAATAAATAAAGAAATAGAGTAAAGTACGAGAAATTAAGTTTACACGGCTTTGGGAGAAGTACATAAATATTATAAGAAACAAAATAAAAATGCGCGAAACAAATAAAGAGTTGCAAGCGAGGGCGTTGGACCCTTTTTAATGAAATTAAATTATTATTAAATTAATTAAATTAAAATAAAAAAAAGAAATTGTTTTTTTTTTGAGATTTTGGTATTTATGATTTTAATGAGAAAGATTAAATGAAATTAAAATATTAACCCTAATTCTACAATTTTTATTTGTTAAGAAAAAAACATGTTAAAATTAAACCTAAATTAACCTAATTAATTACATGGTAATTTAATTACAAAAATAATATTTAATAATTGATTATTGTGAAAAGAAAAGAAAAAGGATAAAAATTGATACAAACCCTAATTCTACAAATTTTAGGTTTTTATTGAAAAAATATTAAGATTAATCCTAGATTTAAAAACTAAAATCAATTAATGAAATTTATTTACAAAATATTAAAATAAAATATATTTTTAATTTTTATGGCCTTTCTGATTTTTTTGTGTTTTTTATATTATTATGAAAATAATTAATTAAAGAATTAAATTAAAAAAAACTAATTAAAACAAGAAAATAGAAAAATATGAGAAAAGGAATTAGGAATGCAAACCATGGGGGTCTGTCCCCAAATTGGAGGGTTTGTTAGCATTTTAGGCCCATTAAACTCCTGGCCTCGTTTGACTCTTGGGCTGGCATACATGTGCGTTGACTGAGGCACATCCTAGCCTCTGAATCCTGGCCCTTGATTGAGTGCAGTGGGATGCGTGGCACGCCTGGATGTAAGGCCATAGGGTGGACGCTTACAAGGGAATTACACAAGAACACAATTATGAGAAAAATATAAGGAAAGGGAGGGGGACCTGGGATCGAACCCAGGTCCTGATGATTACCACTACTATGCCTTGCCAAACGCGCTGCTTTACTTCTTTGTATATCATATGACCAACAAACATAATATAATAAAACAATCGTTAGTGCTTTTTTCCGCGCGAAAATTTGAATCAACCAACCAACGCCTTACACTTCATCATCTTCTTCCTTAATGCGTTTTTCCTGAAAATATAAAAGGGTTAGCGGGGGTTTTGAACCCCCCCAAAATATGCAATTTCATGAAATAGCGAATAGGCCATGTGAGTACATAAATTAGGCGCGAGGGTTGATTTGTTTTCGTCCAAGCATGCTGAGTTCATTCATGGTATTATGGTGTCTCAATTTTACAGTAGTGAGAAACGCCCAATTTAGAACTCAAAGAACCCTAGCCTGTATCAATGGTGAAATCGCGTATAGTACATAAAAACTTAATTAAA